GTCAAGTTATAATTGCTATTTTCCTGAAGTGTGGTTTGCCTCATTAGGCTTGAAATAAACATCTTATATTTTTGTCGCAATTTCCATTCTGGATTTATTTCTGCTGACCTCATTTCCTTTGCCTGCTTCATCTTTTCCTGCTTTTCAGAATGAGGTGGGACCAATGTCAGAGGGACCATGGTCTAGGAGGGCCATCACCAAGATGCCTGATATTTATTTGGAACTCTCAGCTCAAAAGCCCATCCAAGGGAGACACTAGGCTCAGCCCACTGAGACACAGTGGGGGGAGAGAAAGACAGAGAGACAACAAGACATAATTAGAGAAACCATGATAGAGCAGAAGTCTCCACATACCTAAACAATTATTTGAAGTCTTCAACATCCAACAATCTTCCATATCCCTCACCTCAGGGAAAGGAGAGGAGCCACAAGTCATACTCTTTTATTATAATCCCTACTCTTGCTATCAAAGGCTCCACCCCAGTCACTCTCTGCCTTTTTCACATAGGAATGACAACATGAAGAAGGGAAATGACTGGTATACTCTAGCTTCTTGACCTAAGTAGGGCATCCATCTCTCCAATTTCTCCTAGCCATTCCTTTAAAAAAAAGATTTCAATGATTTATTTGATAGAGAGACAGGTAGAATACGAGTGGAGACATAGGGAGAGGGAGAAACAGATTCCTCACTGAGCAGGGAGCCCAATATGGGGCTCAATCCCAGGACCCTAGGATCATGACCTGAACTAAAGGCAGATATGTAACCAACTGAGCCACCCAGGCGCCAGTCAGTGGATATTCTTGAGGTCTGCTTAGTCATCTTCAAGTGCCCCTTTCCTTATCACTTTTAAGATCCTTTCCTTAAGTTTTCCACCTTTAAGAAGCCACCTTAAAACATTTTGACTTTATTGGGCTCCATTCACCCATCCTTCCATCCATCCATCCATCCATCCATCCACCCACCTGTCCAATGTATTTAATGATACTTACTGAGGTCTTTGCTATGCACACATCTTGCTATATAGTTAGTGTAGAGAAAGGGTTAGAGGGGTTTTACGGCAGCATTATTCATAGTTTCACAGTTAACTTATGAGGAAGGTAAGATAAAGGTAATTTTCTCTTAGTACATGTAGAAAAAAATAAAGTTGAGGGAGGATAAAGATGTGTTGGGGTCACAAGCAATTGAGTACTGGAACCAGCTCAGAACCCAGGTCTCCAGGGTTCCATAACTTCTACTTGGATGGGAGAGTTTAAGTTGGGGAAGAGTTGAAGGCAGGTCATTGGCTCTCCACTTCTGGAGGAATCTTTGGTGCATTTCTTCTGCCCTAAAATTATGTTACCTTATGCATACTTTATGCATATTATACCTAATAACAGCCCAATTCACTAAACTTTTGGACAAACTATTTAGTCATATAGGTGGATTTTAAGCTCCTTCTATTCCCACTGGGGAGAAAACTCTTAGCTCTGATATAGGACTTTGAAATTATAGGCAAAAACCTCAGATATCTCTAAATGATCCATATATGACCTGGAGAATAGAAGGGGCAGATCACCTGAGTCCCCATATTTGCTATGGGCATTTTTTAGGCTTGCATTTATCACAAGTATGTCAGATACACTAAGGAATTTAAATATATGAGATAGACCCAAGATCTGACCATGACCCTGACCCAGGGCTGACAGGGATCCTATTTTCTCATTCTATTCCTTGCTCTGATGGACACGGTTTGGTCTATTGGGCTGTTGCAAAGGATCAGTCTAACCAGAGAGGGTGGCTTAAATGCTTCCTGTGAAGCAGGAGAGTTGGTTAAGAGGGTTTTTCTGATAATAGGGAAGGCAGAGATAGAACAATGTGTAAACATCTTATTTAGAGGAGCCATCTCACCTCTACCACTATCTGCCCTGCCACTCTCATTTCTTTGTCTTCACAGAACTTATCCTGCTCTGACACTTCTTATTCTTTGTCGTCTTACTATCATCTGTCTCCTCACTAAAATGTAAGCCCCATGAGAGAGGGTTCTGGTCTACCTTAACCATGTCTTCTAGAGCACTGCCTGTCTCAGAGGTGCCTGATACATTCACTGAAGGCATGAACAAGGAAGTGGTTACTTAAACAGGGTGCTCAAGGGTCCTGGGAAGCAGGACAGATAATGAACCTGGCTATGGATGTGGCTAACCAAGGACCAAAGAAACTCAGAGAACAGCATGATGTGGTGCTTAAGTTGGTGGACCTTGACTTTATACCTGGTATCAAATCCCAGATTATCATCTCAATTTCCTCATCTATAAATGGATTAAGAACATTTCCTGAGTACCTATTCTGTTCCAGGTCTTGTGCTGGGTTCTGAGACTACCGGTAATCTGGAGAAATCTGCTAGCCTTGTAGACCTCAGGCAGATGCCTATCCCTCCAAGTAAACAAATGAGCACATGCTTTGTAAGAATTAAAGAAAAGTAGAAGAACAAGGACAACTTTTCTGAATGGTCAGAAGAGAAGACTGGAAGGAATAGCTCAAGCCTGCCTGGTAAGGCACACCAAGAAAGGGAGCTCCAGCATCAGAGGAACTGTGGCTAGATGTCAAATGTACATGGAATGTAGTGAGACTAGAGGCAAGAGGTGAGTGTGGAAAGACAGGCACAGGCAAGATATGTTTCATATGGTTGTAAGGATTCCAGGAGATCATTCATTCATTCATTTATCCAACAAGTTATTTACTGAGTGCCTTCTGTAGTTCAGGAATTATTCTCAGCAGTGAGGATATGGTAGAAAAACAGACAAATTCCCTGCCTTTAAGAGCTTCTATTCTATTAGGGATGTAATGTACAACATGATGACTATAGGTAACATTGCTGTATGATGCATAGGAAGGTTGTTAGGGAGTAAATCCTAAGAGTTCTCATTACAAGGAAAAAAATAGTTTTTGGGTCTTTTTCCATTTCTTTTTATTGTATCTATATGAGATGATGGATGTTAACTAACTCAACTGTAATCATTTCAAAATATATGTAAGTCAAACCTTTATGCTGTACACCTGAAACTCATACAGTGATGTATGTCAATTATATCTCAATAACACTGAAAAAAAAGAGGGTCTATTCTAGATGGGAAAGACAGATGATAAAACAATAGTCAGAATAAGTAAATATTGAGTATGTTAGAAGGTGATAAAAGCTATGGAGAAAAATAAAACAAAGGAGAGAGCATGGAAAATGCCACAGGAAAAATGTTTGCAATCTAATGTAGTGTGATGCCAGCACAGGCCTCAGTGAGACATGAAAGGAGGTAATTCCTATAAAGATACAGAGATTTTAGCTCAGTGCTGGTACAGCATAAGGCCTCAGTAAGCCAATTAACCGATTAACAATGATGATGATGATCGTGGTGATGGCAATGATGGTGATGATGATGATGGTGATGATGATGATTGTGATTATGGTGATGATGATGGTGGTTGTGATGATGGTGGTGATGATGGTGGTTGTGATGATGGTGGTGATGATGATGGTTGTGATGATGGTAATGATGGTGATGATGGTTGTGATGGTTTTGATGATGGTGATGATGGTGATATTGATGGTGATAATGATAATGATGGTGATGGTGATAATGATAATGATAATGATGGGGATGATGGGCATGGAGGAGACAAAGGAGAGACAAAGAGAAGAAGGGGGATAAGTCAACAATGGAAGTCCTTTGTAAAGAACCCTCTCCTAACCAGCTCATCACCAGGAGGTACCCTTCGCTCTTTTTTGTCCATTAGTGCCTCCTGCAGCTCTTTGGGCCTGGCACGGTCTCAGGCAGCAATTTCCAGTACCAGGAGAGGTGCACAAATGGTAGCCAATTCTTTCAGAAATTCATCTTCCAAAAATTGCTTTCCATCCATTTTGCTCCAATTCCATTTTATTTATTACCTAGCAGTGAGCAGATGGAGCCATTTTTCCTCAGAGCTGCTTGAAAGAGACGCATGGCAATTGTGCAGCAGGCTCAGGGGCTGATTTATGGGCTGTGTGCCATAGGAGCCAGGCCTATGCCCCTGCCGTAGCTACAGCTGGCAGGACGTGACACTGTCTGGCCTGACTCCCTTGTGGGCTGCCATTTGGGGACAGAGGTGATAGGTGCTGACATGTTACCTGGTCAAAGATGCCCCATCCGTTCCCATCTCATGCCTGCGTGGAGTCTCTCCCACCAGGCCTCCAACTCTGATCTCACTCTAGTGAGCAGGAAGGACAGAAAACGTTTCTCAAACACAGGCAATTTCCTACTGCCAAAGGAAACATTCGACTACGTCTTTAATCATCTGAATTTTCAAAGAGCTGGTGAGTTGGGCCATTTAGAAGTTATTATAGAAGCTAATTTCTTCTTTGACATTTTCTATTGAATTTTCAGTTCCCTCATTCAAACTTGAAAAGATTATGACCCATAATGTAACCTGTAAAACCACATTATAATTGGACCAAATCTTTATCTTTCCTCCCTCCTTGCTGTGTGACTTTGGGGAAATTGTTGAACTTCTCTGAGACTTAGTTTCCACATCTGTAAAATAAGCTGTCTCTTTGTGTCTGTCTCACAGGATCATGGTGAGGATTAAATGAGGTAATGGATGGGACTGCTTAGCTCTGCACTGGGTATATAATGAATGTACAAGAAATGTTGCCTTGGCCTATTAATAGTATTGTTTAAATGTTAGTGTCTTTTAAAGCCAAATTTCCTCTGTTAATTTGGAATCTACAGGCTACCTAAGTTTCTACTCATGTGATTTAAGATGGGTATTTTACTCACACTGATCCTCATATTTTATAACCATGAAATAGGGATAGCAACTATTTCCAGAGGGCTCTTGAAATAAATTAAACACTGTATGTAGAGGTTTCTTGTAAAAGATAAATCCCTGAATAAAGGCTGGGTATTTCTATCATTTTATAAACAAGATCTCTATTTATTTTTCAGGCAGGTCTATTTGAGAGTAGAGACACACACCGGCCTCCTGCTGCTGAATGTCACACAGGGTCTTGTTACCACTCCTCCAGATGCCTGCATCCTTTGGGTGACAGGGACAGAATGAGTCTCCTCCACTGCCTGGATGTTTCCCCAAAATGGATTCTGCAGGAGATGAGTCTGGGGCTCTCGTTGGTTCAGATGACTTCAGCATATTTTAGGAGCCTATGAGGACCCTGCACTTAGCGGTCAGAGTCTGGAGTCTTTGGTCCAAGATCAGGATGAGGTGAGCCTCTTACTTTATTTTTGTTCTGTGACCTCCTGGCTTTTCTCCCAGATGGACATCTAGGCTCTATTTTAGTTTTGGTTACTGACCGAATGATGCTGGGCCCAGGGAGAGACCTAAAGGGCCAGGAGGCTGGTAAACTCTGTATCTTCAGTGTTGTGAGGGATGCTGATGAATGTACTGTGTGCCTTGAGGCAAAGGTTATAGGGGCAGGGGGGAGAATCCAGTGGGGAGTCACACTTATACTGTCCATCCTGATAGAAATCCCTTCTTTTTCTTTTAAGATTTTATTTATTTATTCATGAGAGACACAGAGAGAGAGAGGCAGAGACATAGGCAGAGGGAGAAGCGGGCTCCATGCAGGAAGCCCGATGTGGGACTCGATCCCGGGTCTCCAGGATCACACCCTGAGCCACAGGCAGACAGATACTCAACCACTGAGCCACCCAGGTATCCTGAGTTCCCTTCTTCTGCCTCTTCCTCCTGCCTCCTGTCCTAACATGTCATACTGATGGGAGAGCTATATTGGGAAAGTTCAGCTCATAACATCTTTGTGAAAGCCCGGGCCCCTGAATCAGTCCTTACCTGTGATATTAGGTAACTCCTAACGTATGGAAAGCATTCTGATCAATATCATTCCTAAGATTCCTCTGGGCCAGTTGTGCCCTGTCTCAGGCTCAGAAACCTAGGTTCTATGGTTATAGCTCCATGGGGATGAGTCCTCATCTCATTATCCACACTCTTTTTATATGTTCTAGATCGGCATAGCCCAGTAAAACTTCCTGCAATATGGAAATGTTTCATATTGGTGCCATGCAATACAGTAACCACTAGACCCAAGTGGTCACTTGTGTGACCAAGGAACTGAATTTTAAATTTAATTTATATTCATTTAGTAGCCACACTGTGGCTGGTGGCTACCATACTGGACAGCATTGCTCTCTACAGTCTCTCCTTTATCTTATGGAGGAATTATTTGCCCAAGAGGAATAACTTGAGACCTCTGAGGTGCCAACCCCTGTGCCAGGCTCTGTAGGGCACACAGGAGAAGAGAGCACTTAGCCTCGGAAAAGTTTCACTCCTCACTTGGGAGGAGAGATGGAGGTGAAAAAACTTAAGGCAGAAGCAGGTGCTGGGCCAAGGATCTGTAGATGCTGTTAGTCTTATCCATCAAGGAGAGGAAGGTCCCTGCTCAGCCAGGGCTGGGTGCACAGTGGTTGTACTGATAAGGCCACATGTGCTAACAGACATGCTTTTTAGTCAGTGCCCACTCAGCACTGTCTGGGCAGCTTGGCATGGCTGGGAAGGTAGGAGTTCCCTGGTTTTACCTTAGGGGAGGAGACAGAGCCCTGAAAAGATACTGGCCAATCCTCAGAAAAACCCCCAGGGCTCCCCTCTCTACCCCACCCAGCAGCACCAGTCCTGGTACTCCTGAGGAATGACCGGCGACATTCAAACTTTGTTGCTTTCCATGACTTTCTGGAAGGATGGTCTGATCGAACTGCAGGCAGAGACCAGGGGTATATCCCAGCCTCCTTGCCTGACAGCTGAACTCACCAAAAACATTGAGGACAGCTGGCTTGCTGGCCTTTCTGTGCAGGGCAGATGGGTTCTGTCTGTCTGTCTGGAAGGAATGGTTTCCCTGAGTCACACACAGCCCTGCCTGTCCCTGAGAGCTGTGCCTCCTTCCACTTTCACCTCAAATAGCTTGGAGATAGTCTTTTCTCTAGGACAATGCCTCTTGCTCAAAGAATGCCATGGTAGATTTTTTTTTTTTTTTTGGTAAATAATTATTTTGAGAAATTTTCCCTACTCAAGAAGGAAGCAAATGGCAGTGGCATTTCTTTAGTAAACACTCTTGGTGCTTTCTATGTGCCAAGATTGTTCGATGTGCATTTCAAATAAGAACGTGTTTCAAATTTATAACAGTGGTAGGAGGCAGCTCTGTTTATAACCCCGTTTTAAACACTGATCAAGCTGAGGCGAACATAACTTAAGAGACTTGCCCAAGGTGACCTAGCTAGTAAGTGGCAAGCTTGCAGGTGAACCTGTAAGGTGACCAACCATCCTGGGCCTGAGGGGGTTGCCTGGGTCATGGAACTTACAGTGCTAAAACCAGGAAAGTCACAGGAAAACTGGGATGTTGGTCATCCTATATATCCTGGGGAAGTTTGGCTCCGGACTTATGGCTCTCACTCTCCATGTTGTCTGCTCAGTCATGGCATTGAGGTCACCTGGAAGAGGACTAGTTAATCAGAGTTAGCAATGTCTCCATCTCCTCATTCTATAGATGAGAAAGCTGAGGCCCGGCTAATTTTCACCCACACCTCAGGGAAGCCAGATACGGAGTTGGGACCTCACCTTTTTGTCTACCGTGTCCTGGCCTCTCTGCTCAGTCCATAGTTTCCCGGATATTTCTTTATTTAGAAGGTTTTTTTTTTTTCTCTTGACCAAATCATTATTATTCAAAATCTTTAGATAGGGATTATTTCCTAGGAGAAATAGCTTGGTGCTAGCTTCCTGTGAAGGCACAAGCATGTATCCATCATTGCTCATTATAACAGCCCTTCATACAAGCCAGGGCATCTTACTTGAAGGGCACAAGACAAGAGAGTGACCCAGAAAGTGGCTGAATTAAGGTGGTCCAGCTTTGATGTCCTCTGAGGGCTCGGACAAAATCCCAATAAAGTCTGAGGCAGAGGTGCATCTTATAGCCCAGATACAACTGAGGGTGTGGGGTCTGGAGCCCTGCCTTATTCCCTCCTTTTACCCTCACTGCCTGAGGCATTCCACAGGGCCATAAAGACTCTGGACTGAATTCTCTACTCAGGGTCCTGCCAGAAGACAGACCCAGGCCTCTGGAAGCTTGCATGGTACTTCTCTGGACTTGATGGCATCCTGAGCTTTAGGGTAAGTGCCCACAAGCATCGCTTCATCCCATCCTGTGCTTGAGAGGCCAGGTCCCGGCGGGGCAAAAGGCAGTATTTCCTGTGGTAGGGGGTGCAGCTGGCGAGCACCATTAGACCCTTCCTTGTTGGTTTTTCATTAGGATCTTAGTTGGCTTTTAAACAACTTCTTGGGTTTCTTTCAAGGTCGAGGAGGAGAATGCCACTGAAGGAAGGGGGGGGGGAGTCCCACTCTAATCAAATTTGAGTGGAGACAGGATAAAAATTAACCTTCATTTGAATATGTAAACAAATACAGTGTTTGGTAACTTCCAGCCGTCCTTGGCTTGGGTCGCTGAGGAGCAGCATAGAGTGATTCATCTGCCAGGTCTCTTCCTGGCAGGAAAAACTTTTTTCTTAAGGCTTTTTACACTTGAATAAGTGCTAAATAATAATAATAGGCCAAGACTGAAAGAAACTCTTTCCCCTGGAAGGGTGTCAACACAGGCAGGATGAAGAACTGGGAGTTCTTCTAGGGAGTGAGGGGGTGACAAAATCTGGGTTGATGAATGCTGACGTTCTGAATAAAATCACTCCATGCCTTCACCTAGGTCAAGAAACGACATTGTTTTCCTGAGCTGCGGTGACAGCGAGGTGACAGAGATTAATAGCTTGGTATTGACTGAGCAACTTCGAGTTCCTTATCTCTGTCAAGTCAAGGCTGTGTCCAAGGGCTGAAAGTGTTATTAGACTTATAATTGCAAAGACATTTAAAGGGTTTCCCCTTAAGGGACTATGAAATCCAATAAACCTTTCACAAAACCTCAAGCGCTGGAGTGCAAAGCCCCCGTCTGGGAGAGCTGCATGCTCCCAGCCAAGCGCTAGGGAAACCTTGAAGCCGCCAACATTGAATAATGTTTGATTTATGAAGTTGGTTTTGAATTTGTATCAGTTGTTTTATTAAAAATATATGAAAGGAAGTTTTAAATATGAGCAAGCCCTGTAGGCGCTTGTCTGCACTGAACCGCCTGTCTGAGCCCCGCGCTTCCTCCTTGCTCTGCTGCTGGTTCCTGGAGAAGCGAGGAGGGAGGAACCGGGTGGCTAATTTGCAGGGTTAATTTGGTCTGGCAGGGACTAGGTCTCAATTTCTCACCCAGGTCTATGGAAGAGGGTGGAGGGGCAGCAGAATATCGGAGTGGGCAGGCTTGATTTGTCATCTGTAAGGTGGCCCGGGGACATCACTCAGTGAGCGGGGCTGCGTTTACTTGTCTGTAGTAGCACCACGGAGTATATCAACTTCTGGAAAAGGCATTTCTGTTTCCATTCAGGAATGTTCTGACACCAGAGTCTGTGGCTGGTTTATAGGAGACTCATTTAGGGGCGCTGGATGTAGAGGTGAGGTGTTGCAGAGCAGATTAGGACTCTGGGCCTGAGTTTCTCTATGTGTCAAATGACAGGATTGGACTGCACCTCCCACTCCCATCACCTCTGGTCCTAATGTTCTTTGGAGCCCACCCGACATGGTAAGACCTCTAGGCCAGTTCCTCATCACTTCATGGCCAGAGGAACACCCACAGAGAACAGTGCCGTGAGGAAGGCAGGGCCCAAGGTCGAGCAAGCTGCTGGCCCTGGGAATGATCCTGTGGGTTCTTTAAGCACGTTGGTAAAGGGGGACCTCTGTCTCCAGGGCCAGCCTAGGGTGGCAGCCAGCACACAGACTGTGCTGGAGGGGCTGGGGGAATTTGTATGATTTGGGAGGGCAGCTATTTCACGTTCTATCTGGGAAATGTCCCAACCGACAGATGCTACTTTAGGTGTGAAGTCCTCTCTGCTGCTCCCCTGCTCTGGGACTTCAGTGAGGAGTATGTGACAGTCAGAGGTGCAAGGTGTGAGGTGTGACGGAGTCTGGGGGTCCTCCACTGTCTTTCCCAGAGGACACCACTTGTTCTCTCTGCCCCATCCTGGAGTGGGGCTTCCAGGGGCCTGCCTATCACTGCCTCATTGTGTCAGGCACATAGCAGGTGTGTAATCAGTATTGGAGCCATGAGTGGATAAAGGCCAACCATCAACTACTATTTTCCCCTCCACACCAACAGTGCTAGTCAAAGGTGGCCAGCCAGCATGGCGGTTCTGTCACAGGTCTGTGGGTGCTTGTCAAAACTGGGGGGAATGGGGCTGATTTCAGGTTTGACCTGAGAACCTCCCAACAGGTGGGTGGATTTTGAAGGTCCAGAAGTACTCTCTCGTGCTCGAATGCTGTACCAGAATGAGGAGGCTTGGAGGAGTGGGAGTAATAGTGGGCTCCAGGGATGAGCCCCAGGAGCCCGTTGTAGGGGTGGTCTTGCCCTCTCTCTACTGCCTTCCTGAAGTGAGGACAAAGTCTAGGTGCCTTGGGGCCCCCACAGCCACTCTTACATCACAGCTCCATCACCCTCACACTGCTGCTTTGTGCCTGGCACATTGTGGATAAATGCGTGTTGAGTGGATCAATGAATGAAGCCATCCACCAACTCCAACCCCACCCCCTCCATCCTGTAATGTTACCCAAGGGTGACTGGTCAACACTGACTCTGCCAGGGAGCTACGGGCATTGCAGAAATTGCCCCACTCTGGACCATGGTGTGCCATTCCTCCATCTTCCTAAATTCTGTCTGTAGGTATTATAACTCATTACCTCAGGCCTTCTAATATCATGACCTCCCAGTACCTTGCACTTATCCTGAAGACAGTTTAGCAGCCTTCCCTGAATCCCTTCTATGTGCCAGGCACAGCTGAACAGGCCATGACAGATGCCAGGGAGGGCAGTGATTAGGTAGCCAGACAGACTCAGCTGCAAGTCATGACTCTGCTACTTTTCAGGTTGGGCAAGTGATTTTCTCTCTCTGAGCCTCATTGTTGTCATCCATAAGATGAAGATAAATATTAAGATCTGCCTTAAAGGGCTCTCCTGAAAGTGAAGGATGTTAGCACCAAACATGTATTGACCATGAGCAACATGCTGAGGTCTTGATGGCTAATGCTCTGAGGTACATACCATTATCATCTCAAGAATCCCCACTTGACAGGGAAGCACACCAAGTCCTAGGTTAAATGGTTTGACTGAAGTGGCACAGGTCACAAGTGGCTGTTCAGGGCTTGGACCAGAATTTGAGCTGATTCCAAAGCCCACAATCATTGATAGCTTGCTCCAAACATTAAATGCTTCCATGGATGTTTTGGGGTGGCCCCTTGGTGCTAAGAAGGGGAGGGAGTACTTCTTCCTACTGCTCAATGAAGGCCACAGATTGAGCATATCCTTTGTGAGTACTTCTCATCTGGAGGTCCACAACTTTGGGGTTGGGATTGCAGGTTTGATTCAGGTAGACCTACAGTCAGTAACATTCCTGCTCCAAGGTTTTCCTTCAAACTATGGAGGACTGGCTTGATGGAAGCCTTCCCTGGGTGGTAGAGAAGTGTCCTGGTAGTAATAAACTTGCCCAGGTGGTAGAAGACTGCCCAAATGGTGGAGGACTGCCCCAGGTGGGGAAGATTACCTCTGGTAGTGAAGTGCCCCAAGTAGTCAAGGACTATCTAGATGGTGGAGGAGTACCCCAGGTGGTAGAGAAGTGCCCTAGGTGATGGAGAAGTATCCTGGATGGTAGAGGAGTGCTCTGGATGGTAGAGGAGTGCCCTGAGTGACGGAGGACTTCTCCAGGTGGTAGAAGATTTTCCCTGGTGTTAGAGAAGTGTTCCAGGTGGTGAAGGGCTGCCCTGTATGGTAAAGTACTGCCCCAGGTAGTGGAGAAGTGCCACTGGTGGTGGAGGACTGCTCCAGGTAACAGAGGACTGTCCTGGTGGTGGAGGATTGCTGCAGGTGGTAGATGATTATCCAGGTGGTGGAGGAGTACCCCAGGCAGACAGAGGAGTTCCCTGGATGTTGGAGGAGTACCACTGGTGATGAAAGATTGCCCTGTTGGTGGAGGATTGCCCCAGGTGGTAGATAACTGTCCCAGTTGGTGGAGGACTGTCCCCTGTCATAGAGAAATGCTCAGGTGGTGGAGGAGTGCCCTAGGTTGTGGAGGACTACCCCTGGTGGTGGGGGAATGCCCTGGTGATAGGACAGGGTACAGAATGCCCAGTTAGCTGATCCTCTGATTTGGAAAACAAGGCCTAAGCTTTCTCCCACTCTGATTCTGGGGATCCCTAGGACTCCCCACTTTTCCTAGGTTTAGTAGGCTGAGAGTGTGTCTCTCTGGACAAAATAAGGACAAGGCAGTAGTCGTATTGCACTTGAGCCAGGGCCTGTGAAGTCCATGCGGTTGCAATCCAGCTGAGAGACCACATATAGCATATGGGTTTCAAGGCAAAGCTAGTACTGTTGAGCTAGCACAGCCCTCCAGGAAGCAGGAGGAGTGAGGGACAGCACATCTCTGGCCCTTCCTCTGAGTGTGGGCACTGCCCCCTCTGCCCAAGGAGAGACCATGTCAGTTGGCAAATCTTTAGGGAAGATGGCAGAGAGGGACTACTCCCCATCCTGCTGAGGTTGTTAAGCCTTTCAGAAACTCTCTGCCCCTGCTATGGCCCCTCTGTTTGTAAAACAGATGGCCCCAAGGCTTCATCTCATCCCCCTTCCTGATCCCTGCTCTCCTCACTGTGCATGCTTACTTGTTGTGGGCAGGCTGGGTGTTCTGTGATGTCCCCATGACCTTGCATGGCTTCCTAGCCTCCTGGATTTCTCATTAATCTCCCTGCATGCTCAGGCTCACCACATGTCTTCCTGTACCAACTAAGCTCTGGGGCCCCAATATCTTGAGTAAACAGTCCTGGGAGGCATCACTGGAGAGGTGTCACCTCTCAGCATGCAGGACCCTGCTAACCTTTGCTCAGCCAGCCTTGTTACACGTGAACTTTGGGCCCTGCCTACTGTCTGGCAGCTTTCGGATCTTGTAATTTGCGAAACTCTTTGTTCTTCCCTGCCTGCTAGGTGTTTCAGGCAGACTCATTCCTTTCAGAAGTGAGCTCTTGTGACATTGAATCTGTGGGGTT